CAGGGTACTGCACCTAGGGAGAAAGAACCAGCAGCATACCTACAGGTTGGGGAACTCCCTTCTCATCAGCACAGAGGCAGAAAAGGATCTTGGAGTCATTATTGATTATTCCAAGATGAATATGGGCTGCCAGTGTGGGGATGCAGTCAGGAAGGCTAACCACATCTTATCATGCATCCATAGATGCATCACGAGCAGGTCCAAGGAGGTGATCCTCCCCCTCTATGCGACACTGGTCAGGCCGCAGTTGGAGTATTGCATCCAGTTCCGGGTGCTGCAATTCAGGAGGGATGTGGACAGCATCGAGAGGGTCCAGAGGAGGGCCACTTGCATGGTCAGGGGGCAGAAGGGCAGGCCCTACGAGGAGAGGCCTGTTCAGCCTCCACAAGAGAAAGCTGAGAGGGGATCTGGTGGCTGTCTATAAACTTACTGGCAGGGACCAGCAGGGAATGGGAGAGTCCCTGTTCCCCTGAACACCACCCAGAGTAACTAGGAATAACAGCCACAAGTTGATTGAGAGTAGGTTCAGGCTAGACATCAGGAGGTGCTACTTCACAGTCAGGGTGGCCAGGATCTGGAACCAGCTTCCAAGGGAAGTGGTGCTGTCTCCTACCTTGAGGGGTTTTCAGAAGGAGGCTAGATAATCACTTAGCTGGGGTCATATGATCCCAGCATTCATTCGTGCCCATGGCAGGGGGTTGGACTTGATGATCTGCTCAGGTCCCTTCCGACCCTAACAACTATGAAACTATGGAACAGCATCTCTTCACCCTGACCAGGGTATAACAGGAATGGGAACAAAGAAGAATCTTGGAGTCAAGAGGGATGCACAAGATGACAGGATGACATTTCTAGAGCTGTGGGTTGGTCAGGAATTTAAAGTGAGCATACAACTCCTACAATAGTATGAGCTTGGATTTTATTAATGATAAGTAGATGGGATATTCAGTCTATTCAGATGGAAAATTCCTGCTATTGCTTCAAAATAGTATATGGCTATTGAAGACAATACAAAAAACACTGCAGGATGAGCTTTGTGGAACTATAAATCCTAATAGTTAAATCAAACATGAGATCATATATAATGTAAATTAAGTGTTAGGAATTCATCTACTTTCCAAATAGCTGTTTAGTTCATCCATGTTCCAATAACCAGTATTATTTGCTATTTGCAAACATTTACTTAGCTAGAGTTTTGCTCATTCTAATGTTTTTGGAATGGATATGTGGATTTGTATTTGGATATAGATTTGTATTTATAGTAATATTCACATTTGCCATAGGAAGAAGTGTATGTGTGTATGAGAAAGAGTATTTGCTCTTCATTATTTCTTATTCATCATATATAATAGCTGGTTACAAAAATATCAGTCATCTAATCAGGGCTAGAATAACATGGGAATGAAGTGATCATTCAGACATCACAAGTAAGAAACAGTGAATAGCTTTAGTGAGCAGTTTGCAAACACCATATTTAATTTGCTTGAACTCATTCATCACAATTATTAACAGAAACCAGAAAGAAAATTAATACAAGCCAGGAAAAAAAAATCACTAAGAGAAAAACAGGATAGCTGTGTCTAACAGTACCACAGAAAGCAATGGTTGGGGGTTTATAGTACTGGACTGGCTCTGGGTCCTATTCTTGGTTCTGCCAGTGCTCTGATCAGCGTAGGCAAGCCGTTTCCCTTTCATTTACATCATTCTCATTATTCCTATCTAACAGATAAGGTAAATAATGATATCCTCTTCCATGAAGTACTTAAGGTGAAGTTACATGCTACACTTTTATATTAAGGGCACTTAAAACATGAGCGTCTGTATTAAAGCTTGTTAAGAGCCCTCTGAGCAGCACAAAGTTATGCAACTTCAGGTGAGGGTTTACTCTGCACTGTACTACCCAGCTAGTGTTAGGGCAACTTGAATCTGTTCCATTGAGATAAAATTAACAATTTTCAGTTCTCCCGTGTCCCAGGATGCACTGCTCCCAAGCCCCTCCCTCCCCCAACCCGGAGCAGGGGTACAGACCAGGTGTCCTGGCTCCTAGCCATGTCCATGCTTGCAAGCCCTCTAATAGTAAGTCAGAGCTGTGCAGGCAAGAAATGGTATTAACTCTTAATGTATGATGTACCTTTAACACTGCTTAACATTCCACGCATTTAGTATAACATGTAACTTCAATGTATAACTTTGAGTTACAATGTGTAACTAAGTATAATGTGTAACTTCACCCTTAGAAATCTATACATCAAGTTAGAAAGTGCATATCTATAACTCAATACTCAGGCTCAGAACCAGGAATGATTACAAAAAAAACCTGTTGGCTTATATAGTAGCATTGAGATAAGATGATACTTGATAGCAATAATGTCTAACTTTATACAGCTGTGACTTAAGTTTATAGTGAGGTATTTAGCCACAATGCTACTATTTATAAGTCTATAAACTTAGTTTATGATGACATAAATAGCAATGCTAATGGCGTTAACAGCAACACTCAACAGCATCACAGTTGTTGAGTGCTACTCTCATGCAATTTGTATTACTGTTTATATCAGTAATGTGATGTTTATATCATCACAAACCTAGCTAGGTAGTCAAAGGTGCCCCATATACCATATAAGAAAGATGACCCACATTTTAGATGTAAAGCTAAGCCTTTATAGTGATGTTTTTATGGTCAGAATTTCTCAACACATCTTGGATTCTGCTAGGAAAAGGCTCTTAATAGACTATTTATTTGCCAATACGCAGTGGAAGAGATGACTAACATTTTACTATGTACCAACAGTACTGTGAGATACCCAGAAGCAAGTGAACCCCCCTTCCCCAACACACAAAACAAACAAACAAAAAAACCCCAACAACTAACTTACGGTCTCCTTGACAGCGCACAGGACCCACAGTTATTTTAGCTTCAGATCCAGGTCGGTCAATATCTCCAACCACTACTTGACTCAAGGGTAGATGTTCTTTGTAAGATAAGAGCCCAGTGTCTTTTCTCCTGAGTCACATAAAAAAAGAAACAATAATTGTGATATAGGTATAGGGAAATCTTTGTTCACTGTGAAAGTGGCTATTGTACAGTGATTGATAGCTAAAAGAATAAATAGTCCCAGGAAGCAATAATTCAACCAATAATTTGTTACCCTTTAAGGTCTGTCTTAAATCATAGAAGCTTGCTTAAATATCTTATTACAGTATGTACTTTTGTATATCAAAGATATTCAATGTGGTGCCTATCTTCAAGAAAGGGAGGAAAGTGGATCCAGCTAACTATAGGCTCATCAGCCTGACTTCTATCCTGGGGAAGATCTTAGAAAAGTTTATTAAAGAGGCCATCCTTAATGGACTGGCCGATACCAACATCCTGAGGGATAGCCAGCACGGGTTTGTTGTGGGTAGGTCTTGCTTGACCAATCTCATTACCTTCTACGACCAGGTGACCTATCACTTGGACAAGGGAGAAGAGATTGATGTCATATATCTTGACTTCAAAAAAGCCTTTGATCTGGTATCCCATGATCACCTCTTGGCGAAACTGGCCAGTTGTGGC